GGATGGGTTTTAGTTTTTTTATTGCCCGCGGGCAGCTCGCTTCCGCGAGCACGCGGAAGCGGTCGCGGATTCGCCCGTGTTTTTCCGACAGGGCTCGTATGAACCTTTGAGGACAGGGAAGTGCCAGAGTCTGCTGGGTTGCGCTGGCCAATGGGGATGACTCGCTTTGAAACCCTAAAACAATGTTTTTTTAGGGCGTGTTACATCGCAGACGAAACTTCGCCAGGCTTAGAGCTTGGGTTCGGATTGAAGAGGCGCAGAGTCACACCCGACTGTCGCGAATCTGCCCTGGTTTCGCCGTGACAAACCCACAGTGCTGGAATTCCGCCACATATCATGGCTGGTCGCCCAACGGGATGAGTCGCCCTCGCGAACTGGCGAATTTATTGGTCGACCAGTGCCCTGTTCGATGCAACATTACACGCCCTTAGAAGCCGCACAATGGGGAGAAATCCGTAAAACGGCTGAGTTTGCAGGGACAATCATTTGAAGCACAAAAGTAGCAATGGCGTCCACAGGAGCCGGCCAACAAGTAGTGAAGGCAGTTGCTGAGTTAGCTCAGCGATTACGACCGTCATTCGTTAATGGGAAGTGGCGCGGTGCAGCAATTTCCGCGAAGAACCGCGCACGGTTGCGACGAGAGACTTTACTGTCTGGCGAGTGAGTTCTTCTAGGCTATCTCGGTTCGGAACAAAAGTACAACAGATCAGAAACCGTTTGAGCTGTGATTTACCTAGGTCGTAGATTATGATTTAGCGTCACTCGTATCTTGCAATGGCTTCCTGTCGTGCGACCGCGGTGGGAGCAGCTGTTATGTTGGCGCGTTCCTTGATGAACGGACGCCATTGTTCTCGTTTTTGTTCGGCTTCGATCGTCGAGGTAACGCCTAATCGCGCTTTCTAGAGATATCGAGGCCGGATTTTCTGAGATTCGCCACTTCCTGCTGCCTCGTCATTCTCTCATTGCTTGAGTCCCATCTCGTCTGTGTTCGTGTGATGGTGTGAGATGCGTGCATGTGTGTTGTCCTTCTTGTGGGAGGGGCTCTGTGGTATTTGTAGCTGGAGCGGTGTGGAAAGGGGGGCTTGAGAGGGCGTGCCGATTTTCATGATATGTCTGTCTGCATGTGTTGGGGGGGGAGGGGGGGGAAGAAATGTGTGCCTGAACGTTTTGTCTGCATGCGTGTGTTGGAGTGGCAGGGAGTGGCCTTATGACGCTCCTCGGAAGGAGATGAAGACCAAGATAAAGGGTCACAAGCACGATAAGGAGGCTGCAGTGAGGTTAGCCTGCGATTCTTTAAATTTAGAGTGTTGGTTTGCTATGGAAGAAGCCCACGTTCAGCCCACTTTCGCACCCCAGGTTGCTGCCAAGTTTGCGCTTGGTGATCTCTGTTCTGGGCTCAATCACCATAATACTCCTCTATGTCTTGGTATGCAGGCAAGAAAAAATTGCAGAGAATATGGCCAAAATGCCCGAATTGCTTGAGCAAATGAAGGTATGAGAGAAATGTGTCTGAACATAAGTGCAATGCTGGTTGCTGTTCATTTTGTGCTTACTTTTGGGTGCCTGTCCATTTTTTTGCAGAAACGGCAAACAGAGGCAAAAAAAAAGTCTCCAAAGAAGCAGTAAACGGATAGGAGGTAAGAATTGGATTCATTTGCTCAATAACTCTGTCAAGACAGCATCGTTATGCTGAGTGTATCTGTCAAATTTGAGATGAAAACTCTGCGAGATGGGCACATGATGTTAGGAGAAGGTTGGCATCTGATGTGTTCTTGTTGCCAACTCTACACATGGTGCTTGTACTCCTGCTCAGTCCCTTCGACTGGCCCCTTTGTTACTGTGATTATTCCAGTCCGGTCTGATTTTATCATGTGTGCATCTTCTTCATCTTCAAAAACCTTAAAGCTGCGGCCTACATACTCCGAGCGGGAGGGCTGAGATTATCACTTGAAAACAGGGTGACCAGTTTTTGGACTCGGCCCCCTTTCCTGCAAAGTTAACGGTTGAGAGGGGTGGAGAGAGGGGGTTGGGGTTCTTTCCGCACGAAACCAAACTCCCCAGGTTGTTTCCCGCCCTTCCGCAGACCCTCCTCCAAACCACCCGTCAGAACGAAATTGGGCTGGATTCGAGTTTCCTGTCTGAGTTCGTCTGCTGCGGTGTTTCTGAAACATGCTGACTTCGTTCTCCAATCAGGCCGCACGAAAGGGTTGGCATAAAAAATACACCCAAAAAACACCACTTAGTATGTAGACCGCAGCTTTAAGCCACTTCCCTTTTCCCCTGTTTTTGATTTGACATGGCATTGCAGGTTTCAATATTTCAGGGTATACTCGAACATCACAGCATAGCATGTCATCCCAAGATCACCGAATAAGAATAATGCATCCAGATCAGATTGCCGCAGACATGGACTTCCTTCCGGGCATAACCATTGCTGCTGCTTCTGGTGGTTTGTAGGTTGTTCCCATTATTATGTACCTGCATTGAATGGTATACAGGTTAGTTTCTGATCTCATGGAAAGTAATGTCAAAACAGTATACCTGTAAATGACAGCTGCTAGTGCTGATCCCAGGCTGGGTGCAACCCAGTACACCCAGTGTTCTTGTGGCCAGATTCCTGATACAACAGCTGGCCCAAAGCTTCTGGCAGGATTCATGGATGCACCTGTAAATGGTACTCCCACCAAGTGATCGACTACCACCACTAGACCTATCGGTATAGGTGCTATAACACCTGTTGGACAAGCAAGCAGACATCAGGTGTGACGTGGCAAACGGCACCGCATGTAAGAATCAGGATACGGTACTTGCCTGGTCCTCTTCGGTCCACAGCGACACCAAAGATAACATATACCAGAGTAAAGGTTAGCATCAGTTCCATCAGAAAAGCATTGCCAACGGAAGTTCCGTGGCCAAGACTGTGACTGCCCAAGTGACCTAAATCTGCTGCAGGGATGGACGCCCCCAACAAGGCAGCTCCGCAGATTCCCCCAACCAACTGCAGATGACAACAATATGTCAGTTATGGATGCTGCTAACTTGCTCGTGAACAATAGGGGCTGCAGAATGTTGCACCTGAGCAACGATGTATAGAGAGCCCCTTATGATGTTCTCCTTTCCAGCAACTACGAAGGCAAGGGTAACTACTGGGTTGATATGGCCTCCAGAGATTGCACCGGTGCTTGCCACGAGAAAGGTTATAGCCAAACCATGACCCAGCGCGATCACAGTGAGCCTTGCAGATGACAGCTCCGTCTCAAGGACCCCTGAGAATACACGCCGGCTTGGATGACTTGAAGTGTGTGGTACAGCTTAGACGAGCGTAGAAGAACATTCACCTGATGCTACGACAGAGCCACAACCCAAATAAACGAAAAGAAGGGTGGCGAGAAACTCAACGCCGATGGAACGCCATTGTTCTTTGGACTTTAAGGACTTGTACTCGCCAAGCTCAACCTGTAAGCCGCCTTTAGGTTAAAATCTGGGACTGAGTGGTTTCCAATGCTCCACAGTTAAAAATCCTCAGCCGCAAACCTTCATGAAATTAAGCATTGTGACCAGTCGAACAGCGCCTTCGACCATTGTGTGTAATCCACCGTTCTCGTCATGGCCAGGGTCGTGCTGGAGAATGGGCTTTCGGCCAAGTTCCTCATGGTTATCGCGTTCGCCGGCCATCTCCATGTCAGACTGTAATAAGGTTGCATAGAATTGAATTGCTGTCAGGGAAATCTAGACATCGATTGAGCCCCAAACGTATAACTCACCATCATGTTCCAGCAGATCACCTTCCAGACAACAGCACTAACAGATTCACGAAATGGAGCTGGGATTCACAATCTGGTGGAGTTTGTTGGTCTTTTGGGGACGGGAATTCCACTGATCCGTTTATTGCTTGAATCGCTTTACAAATCTATTCCACCCAACCTTCAGTTTTCGCCAACGTCGTTCAGCTCGCAATGTTCTTGCTTCGCTTCGTGTGGCGAAGACGTTTCGGTGGTGAACCAAGTGGGCGAAAAGCCGAAGACACCTCGTCAAGCCACGAGAAAGTGCTGTTGAGAAATTGAAGTTCCTGCCACGTGCTAAATTCTCAATCGAGGACGATCGATTCCGCGTCGCAAAGGAATGTCGTCCGTCGCATTTCGCCATCCTCTGCATTCCCAAGAGGTCATAGGCAACACATTTCAGCTGACAAGCCTTTCTGTTGAACGTTCACACCACAGCCATGGCTCCTTCACCCTGGTCGCATATAAGCTCATTAGCTCGGCCAATGCATCCCAGACGGACTAAGCGCCGTTTCATTGCGCGATCTTATCAAACCCTCTTCTTACCTTATTCTCATGGGTCACACTGTAACTCTCTCGCAATCAAGTTCAAGTCCGCAGGTCTTGACCGACTCTGCCTGCTTCACGCTGACCGACGAACCAGCACTTCGTCCCGTCCACTCAGTTCCTCCTGACGAGGAAAAGAAACCTGATCATGAGTTTGACAGTCTTCTCTATTCGCCGCTTGACACTCGTTGCAATGACGCTAAAAGTGCTGCTTCGCTTTCGAAAAGGCGTCCAGGACTGCAAGCAACAAATTCCTTGGATCAAGACAGCCTGTGCATAGTGTCTGAGGACCTCACCGCGGATCACGAGGGTTTGAATTCGATTCCTTATTCCGAGGTGCGAATCTCGAAAACAATAGTGGAATCGCCAGATCCGTCAACCCAGTATGAAGAGGGCGAGTGTCCGTCGTCCGATCAAGGTGGCGACCCTCACTGCGACACTCAAGACGGCGGGTGCTTCTTGAGCGACCGTGCAAATGGCGAGTTACGGCTGCTGCGAAAAGACGAGCGGTGGGACGATGGGTCCTTGACGAGCGCGCCACACGCTGCAGAGGAGAAGAAGAGGCGTCGCAGGAAGAAGAAAGGCCGGAAGTCGCGGACGCTGCTTCTAGTGTCCAACTCAAGGATCCGGTCTCCGGGGCAAAGCCACTCGAATCATGGACACGAGGCAAGCATGGGAGGATCAGCTTGGGAACCACAGCATGGGCGAGGTGTACTACAGGGAGCTCATGGGCCTCGGTTCTTCGCTAGAGACGGCAGCCAGCACCATACTCAACATCAGCAGCAGCAACAGCAGCGGCAGCCAGCAGTGTACACGCCGAAGCACTCCCCCACTCGTGCGTACTCTCACAGGCTTCCAACCAGCATGGATGCTGCTGCCTGGGCGCTCTGCCATCACCCCTCTTCACCGCTCCGCAGCGCTCCCATAGGGGCTGTGGCTGCGGCTGTGGCTCAGGCTGCGAGTGCTGCGAGTGCTGTGAACGCTGCCAGTGCAGCAGGGATGCCAGGAGGAGGCCACGGCTTCTGGCCCATGAGACGTGACATGGTGGGCCCGTGGCACATGGGGCCTATGGGGTCCATGGGATCTATGAGGTCTATTCCCACTATGCCCATGCCCATGTCGCTTCAGCTTCCGATGGCTGCACTGCCACCCATGACCTCCACACCGCCTGCTGGTTGCACCATGCAAGCATCGCCTGTGCCTGCACCGTTCCCAGCTGTTTTCCAGGCGAATCCAGTGGCGGCTCATTCCTGGCCCACGAGCAGATGGCCTGCAGGCAACGGAACGAGGGGTAACATGGGAGTTAACGGCAGTGGGGACGCGGGTGTACCAGACCGCATGAATGGTGATGCCGGTGGGGACGCAGTAGAGGAATGCTTGCAGGCCATGCAGGCCATGTCCATCGACCCATCCGATTCCTCTACTCACGTTTCTCAGCCATCCAAGTGGAGCAGCTTGGCGGAGGGTGCACCAGGCAGAGCTGATTGCCAGTCAATGGGTGACTGCAGCAAGTTCCCAGGGAGTGGCAGCATGCCATCTTCCTTGCACCTGCACCGCCCCTCCTCTGACTATAGCTCCACGTCAGCCACTCCCTCGGTGCCCCACCAGCAAACAGTACGACATGTACCAACCAATCAGCAACAGCCATCATATTCTATAGACGCATACCCGCGCCTATCGCCTCCGTTCTTCTGGCATGAGGCTGTGTGGATGCCTGGTTTCGCTCTCTCCCATGGCTTCTTCCCTTCCTCCTCCACCAACACCAGAAGCAGTAGCGCAGCCAGCAGCAAGTGCGCCAGTAGCACGCCTTTCAATGGTGTGGCACACCCATTGGGTCCATTCCCTGGATCGCTTCCTGTCCCAGGCAATGGGGTTTTCAACTGGTCTATGTTACAGCAGCAGCACATGTACATGCAGCACCAGCAGCAACAGCTGCAGCAGCAGCAGAAACAGCAGCAGCTGCAGCAACAACAGCAGCAGCAGGAGCAACAGGAGCAGCAGCTTCTCGTGAAACCCGTTCCACAGCGTGCAGAGCCCATAACCAAGGAGGGCAGCGCTGACAGAGGATGCCAGCAAGGTGTGCCAGGCACTGAAACCCCACGGCAGGAACACGACATGAAGACTGGGGATGTGAGAGAGAATGAGGAGGAGAGTGAAGGAAAAGCAAGTGATTATGAAGAACCGTGTGGTACAACGGCAGGGAGTGAATGCAACAAGGCCGAGAAAACAGACGACAATGTAATTTCTCCAGACAGCCCGAAGGCGCATGACTGCTCCTCTTCTGCACATCCCTCGCAGTCCTCACGGCCCGCACAGCCTTTACCTCGGCAGTCTCCTCTTCAGAGCAGAACCCCGTCCCGCCTCAAGCCATGTGACTCTGTGCACGTTCATCTCTCTCTCTCCCTCCAAATCCCCTCCCCACGCGCCTTCTCTCGCCTCTTCAGGAAGCCTCCACGTGCCCGCAGATCCCCAGGCCTCAGAGTGCTGTCACCGGGCCTCAGTCCCACGCAAAAGCAGCTGCTTGCAGGGGAAGCTGCGCACGGCATGGGGCTCAGAAGCCCTTCTTCCCCCCGTTGCGCCGCCACTTCTCCACGTCTGCGCTCCTGCCGCACTTCCTTCCCCCCCTGTGTCCCCCGCTGCAGCCCCACCTTTTCTTTTCTTCCGGATTCGCTTTCCCCGCTCCACTCCCCTCTGGTCCTCTCACCCACTGTTGCCCTGCATGTCTCGCATCCCTCATCCCCAGTTGGCCCCTGTTCCCCCCGCTGCTGTTTGCAAGGCACCAGCCCAGCAAGGAAGAGGGAGAGTGTGAAGTGCAACATGGGCAATGATAGGGGTAGGGGTGGTGGAGAAGAGGATAGGCTAAAAGAGGCAGGCGGGTTGGAGAAGGAAGGAAATGCTCGCACTGGAGTGGGTGCAAATGGTGGGAGGGGGAAAGCTCTGAAACGGAGTCCACTTGGGATGTGAGCCTGGCGAAACCCAATAGCAATGCACACTCTAGCTGGGGTATCCATTTAGTTTGATTGAGTTTTCTGCACATGCTTGGTAAATGTATATTGTAAAAGGGCCTGTTGATCAGAAGCACTCCAGATACAAATGTTTTTTGTACAAGTTTCGGTATTGTTCCAGTAGCAGGAATTTACTGACCAAAGTTAAATCTGCTTTGAAGCGGCTATTACTGGATATACGCGTTCTGGCGGGAATGGACTGCTGATTTTCTGTTCTCCCTGGGCAGTTATCCAATCGCTGACAAGCCACTCTCTGCGGTGCAGGTTTCCCTGCACCAGCGTGAGCAGTGTTCCACCATTTCTTCCAGGTGCTTCGCTGCGCGCTCACTTGCTCGCTCACTCACCTCGCCTGCCTGCCTGACCAAACCCTTGTGTTAAAACGGTGAGATGCAATCTCACCTGATCAGTATGCCGTCAGGACCAGCAACCATTTCATCTGGTGGACGTCACATAGGTTTCTTCGCGTGTGACGTGGTAGGAAAGGAGATGGTCAGTGCGAGTGGTCGGGTTATTAGCTGGCAATAACAACGGGACACTTTCGATCGCCCGTCGCGGCGAGTCATGGCGCGGGATGAAGCGATCGTGCCACAGCAAGGGTCCGGATTTCCGCTTCCGGATTACGTACCCATCCGACGAAGTAAGCCTCTAGTTCCCGGTAGGTGCGTTCGATCCACAATGCAGGCCATGCTCCTGCAGTCGCTGAAATTGTCTAGGTTCGTTGAATCCGTTCAATGCAGTCCAGTGAGCAGTCGAGGAGGGTGTACCTTCGCGACATTCCGTGGTTGTTCTCCTTGCCGATTCGCGAGTTCAAAATAGAAGGCGTCGGGCACTGGAACACCTATGGGTTCATGAGAGAGGCATGGGTGGCGTGGCTGCGTCCTGTGGGCACGCGAGTCTGGCTCGGCTGGCCACTCATACCTTTTGTTGTCTGGAAACCTCCTGCTGTGCCGGACCATGCCTCCATTCTTCCCCCGCCATGTCTCGCATTTTGATTGAATGGGATAGGGCGATTGAGTGAAAGTCACTTATAGTCTGGGGATATGTGTGGTGGCAAGCTTTGGAACCCGCGTACTGACCTAATTTCGCCATCGTTTCCATTGCGCTTTGCGCGATGAATTCGTGTAGTGGTTACGAGGTCCTTCGCTTGACTGGAAGCCGCCTTCTGCCTAGATCTACTGTGTGAGCATGAAAGCGTGCATTCGCTTAACGGGATTCGCGACTCGGCTGGGCGGCTAGCAGCAGAGACGCGCTGCGAAGCGCCAGTCTGCCGCAGTGGCAGCGATTCTACAGGCGCCAACCCGTTCCCTCCCTCTCCCTCCGCACATCCCAACCTTAGCCGTGCATTCTACAGGTCTTCCGCAATGTCTTCCCACATTCACGCTCTCTCTCCGCCATCCTCCCCGCCACCCTCCCCGCCACCCTCCTCCCCCAACCCCCTTCCCCCCGGCGCGCAGACGAGTATCTTGTGAAGCGGCCCGCCAAGCCGTCGGCGGCGGAGTCGGTGCAGTGCGAATGCCACAAGGGCGCGGGGGGCCGCGCGCGGGAGAGCATCACGGGCCGGGGGTGGAAGCGACTGGTGGTGGCGGAAGAGGAGGAGGAGGATGAGGAGGAGGGGGAAGAGGAGGGGAGTGATGATGGGAGCTCGGATGATGGTTCGGAGGGGGGAGATGGAGCAGAGGAGAGCGACGAGGAGGATGAGGAGGAGGGGGAGGAAGGAGAGGATTCAGAATCGGAGGAAGAGGAGGAGGAGGAGGCGGCGGAGGATGAGGAGGATGGGGAGTGGCAGGGAGGCAAGAGGAAGGCGAGCGCGGTGAAGATGAGCCAGCAAGGAAGCACGGCCAAGGGGAAGGCGAATGCGCAGGCGACGCACAAGACCAAGACAGGGAGGAGGCGGAGGAGGAGGAATATGTCCATCTGTGGCGAGACATGCCTCTGCCGGTGTGTGATTGCCAGTCCTGCACCTCCTGTCAAGGAGATTGCGGCTCTCCTTCCTCGCACCGTCTGCTCTCTCCACTCCCCACGCTCATCCCTTTACACTCTCACGCTCTCCTCTTTCTCTCTCATTCCCCGTTCATCCTCTACCCTCCCTCCCCCTCCCCTTCTCCCCTCCTCCCCTCTCCTTCCCCCTCCTTCCCCCTCCTTCCCCCTCCTTCCCCCTCCTTCCCCCTGCACGTGTCCTCACCCCCCAACCCAACCCAGCATGCTGCACGTGAGTTGCAGCAAGCACTGCGGGTGCGGGTCGTCGTGTCAGAACGCGCCCTTCCACCGCCGCCCCTCGCGCAAAGTCAAGCTCTGCAGGGTGCGTCGCGCTGGCCCCCCGCCTCCCCTCAACCGTCTCAGCACACCGCAACCCTGAACCATCACTGCTCGCTGCTCCGCATAGCCCACTCCGCCGTTGCTTGCCCCATGGCTGTCCATCTCCTCTCTGCTCACACACCCCCCCCTGCCCCCAGCTCACCGTCCCTTCTTCTCCCCCGCATTATTCCCGCTTATCCCCGCGTTTCCCCTCCATATGTCCTGCTTTTCCCGTTTTCGTATCAAGCGAATCCCCCCTTATCCCCATGCGTGTCCTCTGCTCACATCCCGCACCCCCCCCCTGTGCGCAGACGGATAAGTGCGGGTGGGGCCTCAAGGCCAACGAGGACCTCCCTGCGGGATGCTACGTGATGGAGTATGTGGGGCAAGGTGAGAGTGCGGGGCAGCCATGTATTGTCACTCACATGGATGCATCCGTCACTGACTGGCAGCTCAACTGTGACCCCCTCACCCCTTCCCCTTGCATTCCTGCACTGCTCACCCCTTTCCCTGGGCCTGTTCGTGCACCCACCCCCATGTATCCATACGCCCTTTCCCCTGTACCCATGCGCCTCCTTCCCCCCCTCCTCCCCCCTGCCCCATGTTGCACGGAGCGGTGAGCAGTGATAGACGACGCCACGTGCGAGCAGCGCCTGTGGGACATGAAGGCCGCCGGGGAGACCGACTTCTACCTCTGCGAGGTTTACCCCTGCCACCCCCTGCCGCCCCTGCCGCCCCTGCCACTCCTGCCGCCCCTATCACTCCTGCCGTCCGTGCCGCCCCTGCCACCCCTGCCACCCATTGCTGTGTGCTTCACTGCGATTCCATGCGCTTCGCCTCATTGCCTCGTCAATCAAGCACGGAGCACTGCTATCCCCATTCTTTCCATGCCATCTCGCCCCTCGAGGTCGTTTCGCTTCATCCTGCTGTTCCTCCCACTGCTCCCTGCGCCCTCTCCCATATGCCGCTTGCCCTGCGCCCTGTTCCCTGTGCCCCGTGCTTATGCTGTGTGCGCCATGGATGGGAGCGCAGGTGAGCAGTGACATGATCATAGACGCGCGCTACAAGGGCAACCTCTCGCGCCTCATCAACCACTCCTGCAACCCCAACTGCGAACTGCAGAAGTGGTGAGCAACCGATGAGCAACTTATGAGTAACTGCTGACCCCAACTGCTGGCCCCAACTGCTGGCCCCAACTGCTGGCCCCAACTGCTGACCCCAACTGCTGACCCCAACTGCTGACCCCAACTGCTGGCCCCAACTGCTGACCCCAACTGCTGACCCCAACTGCTGACCCCAACTGCTGACCCCAACTGCTGGCCCCAACTGCGCTCCGAGTCCAGCTGATCCTTGGTGCTCTTCCATGAACTTTCATCCTGCATGTTTCTTTTGCCCATTTCTCTCTCTCTCTGCTTCTGTTGCTACTGCTGCTGCTGCTGCTATCGTGGTGCACGAGCAGGCAGATGGATGGGGAGGTGCGCATAGGCGTGTGCACGCTGCGCGCAGTCAGCAAGGGGCAGTTCCTCACATACGACTACCAGTGAGCCTCTTTACAATGCCGAATCCCTCAGCTAGTCGTGAGCTTAGGGTGAGGCTTCGCTTCTCATGTGCTGGTGGCATGGCCTTGATGCTCTTTCTCTCTCTTCTCCACTGCGCTGACTGCAGTTTTTCCTTCCTGCTCTCTAAGCAAACAATTTTTCGCATTCGAACACTAGCTGCGCGCACACACTCTCAGAATGCGTCAGACCAGCAACCGCCGCTCTCGTGACTGCAATCACCATCTCCTCTGCCCCCTCTACCCCCCTATGCGCACCCCCGCCTTGCTGTGCCCATGCAGGTTCATAGGGTTCGAGCTACAGCCCAAGGAGTGCCACTGCGGGGAGCCCAACTGCCGCGGCCTCCTCGCCACGCGCACCATCTCCCCCTTCACCCTCCCCCTCCCCTTCCCCGCCCCCGCCCTCCCCGCGCTCCCCATTCCGCCCGCCTTGCCCGCCACCCCCCCGCATGCAGGGGGAACCGTTCCCCCTGGGGGCGCGCAGGGGAAGGGGAAGCGCGGAGGCAGAGGGGGAAAAGGGGACGGAATAAAAGGGGAAGGGAGGGGGAAGACTGTGGTGGATGTGTGTGGGGGAGTCGTAACAGGGGGCAGCGGGGCAGGCAGGGGCGGGGTGAGGGGAAGAGGACGGGGAAGAGGAGGTAGTATGGGGCAGCAAGGAGCAGTGGGCGTGGGGAGAGGAAGCGGGAGGGGAAGAGGGCGAGGCAGGTGGGAGGTGGGAGGAAGGGAGTGTGGAGAGAGGGGTGGTGGCAAGATGGGGAGAGGCAGGGGTGTTTCTGCAGGAGGTGCAGCAGTGCCGATTGCCTTGGGGAGAGGTGCAGAAGGGAGCAGCAGAGGCAGCGGCAGAGGGAGAGGGAGAGGGAGAGGAAAAGTGTGGGTGAAGCAGCCGAAGAGGCAGCATCTGTCAGAGCTGCATGCGGACGGGCACACTCTGGTGAGCGCTGGTGGTGCGCTTGACACTGACCGAGACTTGGCTGATGTTTCTCGTGCCAGGGCTAAGAGTATGGCTCTAGAGGCGGATGAGGAGGAGGAGGAGGACGTGGAGGAGGAAGAGGAGGAGGAGGAGGAGGAGGCAGATGAGGAGGAAGAGGAGGAGGATGAAGAGGAGGAGGAAGATGAGGAGGAAGAGGGAGAGGAAGAGGAAGAGGAAGAGGAGGAAGTGGAGGAAGATGAGGAAGTGGAGGAAGAGGAAGAGGAAGAGGAAGAGGAAGAGGAAGAGGAAGAGGAAGAGGAAGAGGAAGAGGAGGAAGATCTGCAGGAGCGCGGGGAAGAGATATCTGGGGAGGGGCGTCGTGGGAGCAGGCGCCTCATTCCGGGGCCGGGGTGGGCCCCGGTGCCCCTGCTGCGCGGCACCAGGCGCAAGCGCCAGGCACGAGGAGTGCGAGGGGGCATGCGCAGTGATGTGCGCGGTAGCACTGCTGGCGCTGCTGCTGGGGGCAGCACCGCTGCTGGGGCCACCGGTGGGGAGGGCGGCGAGGGGGAGGGAGGTGGCAGGAGGGCGCAGGAGGGATCGTGTGTGACGTCAGTGGCTGCGGCTGGGGGCCGTGCTGCTGTGGCGGTGGGTGGGTGCGCTGGCGGGCAGGGGGACGTGGGCGTGGGCGTGGGCGTGGGCGTGGGCGTGGGCGTGGGCGTGGGCGTGGGTATGGGTATGGGCAGGGAGTGGGTTTCTTGCTGTCCTGCCTCTCACTGCCACCTCTGTGCTGCTGCTGCGGTTGCTGCTGGTGGTGGTGGCTTCAAAGTACCTGCTGGGCCTTGTTTGGCTGCTGCTAGTGCCGGCCCTTATTCTGCTGTTGCAGCTGCTGCTGCCGTGGGAAGAGGAGCAGTGGGATATAGTGGGAGCAGACAGACGGAAGTAGGGGGGCCTCAGCTGGACCAGAGAATCAAGGGGCAGACTGTAGAGAGGGTGTACTCGCGGAAGAGGCTAAAAATGGATGTTACTGTAAAGAAAGAGCCAGTGGGCGAGGAGCCACTGGCAGGTGTGAGGGTGTGTGCTGGTGAGGGCGAGGGGGGTGAAGGAGTGGTGAAGAAAGAGTGGGAAGAGGTGCAGAGAGTGGGGGAGGAGGTGAAGAGAGTGGGGGTGGAGGTGGGGAAAGGGGGCCTCATGCGTTATGGGAGGGAGTATCAGAGACGGAGGAAGCGGATTCAGACGGAGGGGTGTGACGCTGCAGAGGGGCTAGTGGGGGAGAGTTTCTGTGCAGCATGCACATGCAGAGGCGCGGATGGTGCAGGGGGGGTGCACACAGGGGGCGTGCACACAGGGGGCGTGCACACAGGGGGCGTGCACACAGGGGGCGTGCACACAGGGGGGGTGCACACAGGGGGCGTGCACACAGGGGGCGTGCACACAGGGGGCGTGCACACAGGGGGCGTGCACACAGGGGGCGTGCACACAGGGGGCGTGCACACAGGGGGCGTGCACACAGGGGGCGTGCACACAGGGGGCGTGCACACAGGGGCAAGGACTCCTGTGGTGATAGCGCATGAGCACATGTGGCGCATGGCTACGGATCAACGGCCAGGATTGCAGGGTGTGGCGGTGGAGGGAGCGGGACAGACGGTGCCGAGGAGCGGGTGGCAGAAGCAGGCTCTCTCTCTGCTCCCACCTGCCCCTCGTGGCCCCTCGTCGCCCCATGATGCATGCGGTGACATGCATACTCATACCAACACCAAATCCCCCATCCCTGCACAGGCTCATAACCATGCCCATGCCCCTGCCCCTGCCCCTGCCCATGCCCATGTCCACGCGCATGCACATCCGTGTGTGCACATCCCCGCAGCATGTGGTCTCACCTACCCTGCAACATGCATGCATCATCACACCCATGCCCTCGCCCACCCCCACGCTCAAGTGCCGTGTCACATGCATGCTGCTACTGCCATGCCCCCTGACCTCTGCTGTCCCCACCATGTGGGGCCAGTGCACATGTGCGCACATGGCATGGCATGCCCAGTAGCAGCAGCACAGGCGTGTGGCGAGGGAGTGGCGGCAGTGAGGGGTGTGACTCCAGATGATGTGCCTGAAAGGGGGTCCGCCACTGGCAATGGCGCGCTGGCAGTGGGTGCACACGTGGACACTGCTGGTTGCACTGATGTGACACGTCAGCAGGAAAGGGAAGGGGATGGGGGACGCTTGGGGGGAGAGGAGGGGAAGAGAGACGGAAAGGAGGGGATGTTTGAAGGTAGAGAAGGGAAAGGGGAGAGAGGGAGGGGGAGAGGAGTGAGAAGGGGTAGAGGAGGGAGAGGAGGGAAGGGAGGGAGAGGAGGGAGACGAGATGGAAGAGGGAGCAAAGGCAGCGATGGGAGAGAGGATGTGGCTACAGGTGACCTCAAGGGGCTTGGCGTTGCTGCTGCTGCTGCTGCTGCTGCTGCTACTGCTGGTGGTGACGCCAGTGCTGCTGCTGCTGCTGCTACTGCTGGTGGTGACGCCAGTGCTGCTGCTGCATGCGGGCAGGGCAGGAGAGGGGGCATGTCTTGCGCTCGAGCAGCAGGGCCGGGCCGAGGGGGAAGTGGCAGCAGCAGACACGCAGCAGCTAGAGTGGTGGCAGCTGCAATGACTCGCGTGGCGAGGGGAGGGCGGGGAGGGCGAGGAGGGCGTGGAGGGCAGGCGGGTGTGGTGTCCGCAGGGAGGGGAGGCGTGGCCATAGGAGGTAGCAGTGACGTGGAGACAGGGGAAGATGGTGCTGGCACCAAGGGGGGAGGGAGGGGAGGGAGAGGAGGGCGGGGGAGGGGGCGGAGGGGCGGGGGCGCGTGGTGGGGCGGGGGTGGGGGGCGAGGGGGCGCGGAGGCGGAGGGGGTGCGGGATGCCATGCTGGAGCGGCTGAGCCAGGCGCTGGTGGGGCAGCGCGTGCAGCTCTGGTGGCCCCTGGAACAGAGGTGGGAGGGGGGGGGGGTGAGGAAGGGCTGACGAGAGATAGAGGAGGGAGAGTGCGGCGGATGGGTGGGCGGTTACCAGAGGTGGTGTGGTGAGGATAAGTCGTGGCCGATTGCTCCGTTGCCTCTTGCCGCCCTGGCTTCTCACCGCCCTGGCTTCTCACCGCCCTGGCTTCTCACCGCCCTTGCCTCATTGCTGCCTTAGCCAAGCGCCCGTTGCCCACGTCCCAAGTTGCGCTCGCTCGTGACGCCCTGCCACCTCTTCCCTGTCTCTCTCCCCCGCACAGGTTCTTCGCAGGCACGGTTATGGGCTTTGACCCCGCCACCATGAAGCACCATGTGAGTTGCCCCTCCACCATGCATGTGAACCCACGTGTATGTCATGTCAGCATGCGGGGTAGCACCATGTGAGCAGCAGCATGTGAGCATGTGAGGGCTAGTGCACGGAGCATCTGATGTGATGTGAATTTCTTCTGATGTGACTTAGAGTGGCGTGAATGAACGGCAGCAGGTGAGTCTGCGCATGTTCCAATACCAGCTTACTCCACAATGACTGCATACAGCCAGCCCTCCTCTCCCCTGTCTTCCACCCGCACTCCTCTCCTCCTCTCCCCCGCCTCCCTTCCCCGCTTCCTCCCCCTGGTCCATACACTCACACTCTAAAGGCCTCACCAACCCTCCCTCCCCTCTTCTCCCCTTCCCCTCCCCCTTATCTCCCTCCCCTCTTCCCCCCTTCCTTCCCTCCCTTCCAACCCCCTCGCTCCCTCCCCTCCTCCCTTTCCTCTGTTCGCAGGTGCGGTACGACAATGGGGACGAGGAGCACATGGTGCTGGGCCGCGAGCAGTGGCAGCTGGAGGCGCACCCACCGGGCAGAGCAGGCAGAGGCGCGCAGGGGGGAAGCAGCACGGGGAGAGGCACAGGGGAGGGCGCTGGAGAGGGGGCAGGGGGCGATGGGGAGGGGGAAGGAGCAGGGGAGGAGGCAGGAGGGAGAGGCAGGGGGGTGAAGCGGGGTGTGGGGTCGGGCGGAGCTGCTCGTGCTGCTACGGGCAAGGGCAAGAGGCTTGCGGATGGTGCGCCCCTGCTGAGCCTGGCCGATGCGCCGAAGCTGTTTGGTTCGGCGCAGCGGCCAGGTTCGGGGCTGAGCCGGGCGGAGCAGGAGGCGCTGGCACGGCAGCAGGCGCTGGTGGGGCGAAGGGTGGAAGTGTGGTGGCCGCTGGAACAGAGGTGCGTGAAGAGGGGGGCTGGTGGAGGGCAGGTGGGGCAGGGCAGGAGAGGCGCTTGTGTGGGTGGGGAAGGGCAGCAGTGATGTGGGAGTGGGGCAAGGGAGGGGTGGTGTGAGGATGCGGAGGAGTGACGTGGGGATGGGGCAGGGTGCAAGTGGGGGAAAGATTGGGGCATGGGAGCACTGTGGGAAGTGGTGCGGACGGGAAGGGAGTAGTTGACACTGTTGCTTGTCTGGAACCACGCAGGTGGCTCTTCAACCATGCATGATGTCACCCACCCCCTCTCTTCCCATGCTCTCCTCTCATTTTACCCTTGTCTTTGATTGTCTCGTGGGGCACCTCGCCACTGGCATCACTGCTTCCCTTGACCCGCCCAAACCCCCTGCCATTCCACCTGTTGTGGTCTTGTGCCACTGTTCGCTTCCTCTCCTGATAATGCTCCGTCCCTCGTTGCCTGCCCTCCCTAGCAGGTTCTTCAAGGGGGTCATTGGCGGCTACGATGCTTCCACTCTCAAGCACAGGGTGCGTGCCACCTGCCATGTGCCACCCACCTGCCATGTGCCACCCACGTGCCATGTGCCACCCACCTGCCATGTGCCACCCACGTGCCATGTGCCACCCACGTGCCATGTGCCACCCACGTGCCATGTGCCACCCACGTGCCATGTGCCACCCACGTGCCATGTGCCACCCACGTGCCATGTGCCACCCACGTGCCATGTGCCAGTGTTCTCGCAGTGGTCCCAACACGCCCAACAGGCCTGTTCCTACTCCACTTGGTCTTGCCTCCATCTGCTGTTCCCTGTTCGTTTTGCAAGCCACCACTCAGGACCACCCTCGTTGATGCATGCACCACACGCCCTCATCTTCACAAAATCCACTTGCTTTCTTTCTCTCTGTTGCCCTCTGCATTTTTAACGCCAGGCCAGCACTCGAATATCTCTTCCTCTTCTTCCCTCCATCTACCTCCCTCTCCCTCTCTCCCCCTCCCTTTCTCTCCCTCCCTTTCCCACTCCCTCCCTGATTCTCTCCATCTCCTCTGCCAGGTGGCATATGATGATGGTGACGTGGAGCACGTATCTTTGCGTGCGGAGCGGTGGCGCTTTGAGAGACAAACGGTGCCACCCACTGCCTGCTACTCGTTGCCCTTCTCCTGGCGATCCGAGGTAAAGCATGGGTGATGTGCAGTGGGAGAGGTGTGTGGTGTCTGTGTGGTGTGTGGGGTGGTAAGTTTGATGAGTGGTGTGGTGGCTGTGATGTATGTCAGGTTTGTTTCTAATCTCTCGCTCTTCCCTCCCCGTCGCCACCACATTTCCTCTCCCTACCCCCAATGTCATCACTCGGCATGCTGCCTGCATCCCGTGCTCCCCTCTATCGCTTGCCCCCCTTTTTCAGCCCGCTCACCGTGCATGGTGGTACAGCACGACTCTAACACACTAGGACTCACGCTCCCTGCTTGCACTCACGCGCCCCCTCTCCCTTCCGCTCTCCCCCCCCCCACCCTGTTCCCCCTCCCCCCTTCCCCCTCCTCCGTTCCCCATCGCCTGTCTCCCCTCCGGCTGTCCCTTCCCCCCCCCAGCCACTGACCCACCGTGCGGTGCGCGACCTGCAGGGCGAGCAGATCAGGATTTGGGCACCGCAACTCCACAGGTGGGCACAGGGAGGCGCAGGGGGGATCAGGGGAGCGGCGGGTTAGGGGAGGGAAGGTAGCTTGTGGTAGGCTCTTGTGGGGGGGGAATGGAAAGGGGGAAGTGCTGCCTGTGTGGGTGTGCCGCATGGGGCACTTGGAGGGGTGGCTGGTGGGGAGAGGGCAAGGGGGAGTGGGTGTGGCGTGGAGAGGATGGGTGAGAGGTTGTTGAGAGTTGGGGTTGGGAAGGAGTGGGGAGGTGAGAGAGAGTGATCGGCAGGCAAAGGAGAGAAGCGTGGGTGAGATGGGTGGTGGGTCACACCACATACAACCATCCATGGTCACACCACATACAACCATCCATGGTCACACCACATACAACCATCCATGGTCACACAGGTTTCACCTCAGCACCTCTTCTCTGCCCGTCTCTTTCCCCCTCCTTCCCATTCCCCCTCTCCCCACCTCTATCATGTGTGCGCTATCACCTGCCCTGCCTCCCACCCCACCCTCCCCTCCCCCCGGTCCTCCCCCTGGTGTGCGGGGGCAGGTTCCGCAACGGCACGGTGGTATCAGTGGCACACAGCAAGTTTACCATCGAGGTGCCCTCCTGCCCCATGCGCCTGCCCCATGCATCCTGCTATCCATGCCACCCCATCCATGCCACGCCATCCGCCCCCCCTCCCGTGCCATGCCATCCCCTTCTGTGCCATGCCATCCCCTCCATTCTTTCCGAATCGTTTTAGTCCAAGGCTCCTCTCTGTGTGCCACTCTGCTGTCATGCCGTCGCCATGCTTTTCACACACCACTGCCATGCTCCTCCTTGTCACTGATGTTTTCTCCCGTATCCCCCCTCATTCCCCCTCCCCTGTGTGTATCTGCCCCCCCTGGCTGCGCCCCTACCCCCCACCTGTTTCACTTGTGGTGCATGGCACATACACACCTCTCCCCCAACCACACTTATTTCTCCCCGACACACATTTCCCCTGCCCACACGTCCTCCCCCCCCACACACGTCTCTTCCCCTGGCATGGAGCTGGTCAGTTTCTGTACGACGATGGGGAGATCGCAGTGCTGGACCTCTCACAGTGCCGCTGGGAGCTTGTAGACTCCGACTGACACACTGCATCTACCACACACAGCCGTTAGATTGTATGCAAGCGAGAACGCTTACCCGCAGATATGTGCACTCCCATGCACATGCATGGTGGTGGCCCCTTGAAATCATTATTAATTTTTGTGTTCTCCCTAAAATGAGAGCTTATTGTATGGCCTGTATTGCTGCTATGTGTAAGGAATTTTCTCGACATTCCTTAGCGCGCCCTGCAACATCGCGTTACAGCAGCAGCCGTTGTTCGCCCGTCACTGCTAACGGGGCTTCGCCAACTTCGCGCGCGCTGTTTCACCAAACCTCGCACTGCTGGCCCGGCCGTGTCGGTCTACGCTTCGGGACTAGCCGGAACCTCACTGCCAGCATAGCACTAGCCAGCTCGCACGCACCGCGTTACCGTTTGCATGTTTCGCGTATAAATGTTCGCTCATGCCTTCGCTCACATTTTGTACTCGGTTGACACCTTAGTGCAATCCTCGCTACCTCGATTCATTGCACCCGTAACACTTGGTATCAGAGCCTCTTTCTTTTCGGACCGCGCATCTCCGCACCCCAGGCGATCAACTTTTGATTTTTCACTCGAACGGACTCACGCACCTTAGCCCCTAGGAGCCGTTGTCCTCGCGTTCTCTCGTAAACGCGTGCAGCCACGACTGCGCCTAGACTAAGCCGAGCCGACGCCCTTCGTCATGGCCGAGCACATCAACGTCACAACTCTCACGCAGGAGCACTTGAATGAACTGCTGCGACAAATCCGCGAAAGCTCTGAAGAAATCGCGGCGCTGACGGCAGAACGCACGTCCCTGCAAAATGACATCGCAAGAGCACAGCAAGCACAATCTCAAGCACCTGGCACTCCGATACAACCCGCACCACAGACATCGCAACATGGAAGTGTGGGGCAACCCGCGAGCGCGGCCAGTGATGGTGTCGTCCACCACGATGGAGACGACGACCACGGCACGACACACTCCGAAGGGACGAATGCGGCCAAAAGTCAGCCTCGAGTCATGATTTCCATGCCGGCCGGCGAATCAACACTTGCCGTCGCCGATGCCGCTGAAGCCGCAACGTCCACCATGCTTCGACCCGAGTCAACGGGGTGGTCCTACCGTTCAGCCGTGGTTGTTCACGATTAACGTCTTCTTCGACGCCAACTACGTCTCGGAGGATACGGCGAAAATCCGTTACGCCGTGTCGTTGCTGCGAGGACCCGCCATGGATTGGTGGCGTGTCGTCGCCACGAAGCCGGTGGACTACGCGACTCTACCGACACGGCAAGGACAAACCGGACCCTGGGCGCCGTCGTATTTCGTGGAGGTGCCCCAATATCGCACGTGGGACGCGTGGTACGCATGTCTGCGCGCTCGGTTTGAGCCAATTGCGGCTTCGATCGCGGCGCGACAGAAGCTCCGCACTTGGTGCCAACTCGGTTCTGTCCAGGACTACACGAGCGGGTTTTCTGGCACTATGCGAGCAAGTGGGTTACATGCACGAGAGCGAGCGCATCGACCGCTACATCGGCGGCCTGAAGCACGACATCGCTCAGGAAATCCAGCTTCGCGGCGTCACCGACTTTCAAGAAATTCTTGCTATGGCGGAGAAACTTGACTTCTTCCACCGACCGAGACCGGGGTCCTACGGAAGCAGCAACTGGGGACATCGGTCTCGTGGGACGAACGAGGGCGCTACGATACGTGCCGTCGCCGCGAATGCCACTGCCGCACCGTTCAAAGGGCACTGCTTCGCGTGCAATCGGCCAGGACACCGTAACAGCGAATGCCCGGAAAATGTTAAGGGAAAGGGGGAAGCTGAGCAGCAGAAACAGACCAAGCATCAGGGAAACGCTAGGAGTCAGTAGCAGACGGGCCCTCTACTGACAGGTCACGCCGCTCGCCCGACCCAACCGACCCTCACCGAGTGATTGTGCCGGTTCACGCAATCGACCGCACCCGGCCGAATAAGGAGGGTACTACGGTAGACAGCCCCATACTGCTTAGTGGGAAAATCGGGACCAACTTAGTTAAAATCTTCGTAGACGGGGGAGCCAGCCACCGCCTTATCAACACTGCCATAGCACGGAAACTGAGACTGCCACTGGACAGATGCTTACCTGAGATCGACGCAAGACTGGTCGACAGCACGCCACTGGCGATACGGGAACGTGTGGACCGGGTTCGGATTTGATGTGGGGGGTAAATTCACGTTTAGCCAGGAAATGCTCGCAACAACCCTCGACGGAACCGACATTTTACTCGGGCGTGATTGGCTGCGACGACACAATCCGCGAATCGACTAGACGACGGGTGGACTGCACCGTTGCGACCGTGAACGGTAACAACATCGCTTTACCTCGTTGGGGCTCGCCTGAGTCTTCGTCGGTGCGTGTCAACGCGATCACGATGAAACGCGCCGTAGCGGCAGGAGCTGACGTGTACGCGGTTGACATTCGGGAAGCCGAGGCAGCAGACAAAGGGGGGGATTTACAGAAACTGCTAGCCGATGTACGGATGATCTGGCAGCACTATTGAAGCAGTACAGTGATATATTCCCGGACGATCTGCCAACGGGAACTGCCACCTCAGCGGACCGCATGACCACAGGATAGAACTAGAACCGGGGGCACAGCCGACAGTACAGCGACAATTCCGACTGACCCAACCTGAACTGAGAAAGCGGCTGGATTACCTGCTCGAAAAGGAGTTCATTCGCCCAAGTTCGTCACCCTTCGCAGCACCGATACTGTTCACGCCGAAGAAGGACGAGGGTTTTCGCATATGCATAGGACTACAGGGCACCGAACAGGGTTACCATTAAATCCCGTACCCCATTCCGCGAGCCGACGAACTGATCGACCAACTGCGCACAGCCCGGGTTTCCTCGAAAATCGACCTTAGGGGAGGTTACCACCAGATTCGCGTCAACCCACCCGACGCCCCAAGACTGCCTTCCCCCCCTTCCGAACACGCTACGGATCGTTCGAGTACACCGTCAGCCTCTTCGGACTGACCAACGCCCCCGCCATTTTCATATGACATCAACGAAGCCTTCCGCCCGCTTTTAGATAATAGTGCGTTCATCGTGTACCTTGATGACATACTGATTTACAGCCCCGACAGAGCACACAAACTTACAGGACATCGAAGCAGTTTTTAAGATACTGAGTGAGAACCGCCTACTGACCAAAGCGTCTAAGTGTGAGTTTTTACAAGACCGGCTGGAGTTTTTGGGACACATTATTTCAGCGCAGAGTGGAAATAGACCCGAAGAAGATCGCGACGATTCAAGCATGGCACGCGCCGACCAACTTGACTGAGTTGCAGAGTTTTCTGGGGTTCGTCAACTACGTGCGACGGTTCGTCCCCGACATGGCGCAGTTGACCGCCCCGTTGACCGACCTGCTGAGGAAGGGGGTTGAGTACACGTGGGGGGAGAAAGAGCAAGCTACCATCTCGGCCCTCAAAAATATTTTGTGCTCGCCGCCCGTGCTTCACATTGCAGATCCGCACCGTCCGTTCGAACTCGTCACCGACGCTAGTGACATCGCTTGTGGGAGCAGTACTGTTGCAGGACTTCGGGAACGACCTCCAGCCAATCTCGTATGAGTCCCGCAAGCTTCACCCGCCCGAACGCAACTACACGATACACGACCGCGAGATGCTGGCGATCGTGCACACGTTCAAGGTGTGGCGATGTTACCTCACGGGAGCAGACGTGACAATACGGACAGACCACCGATCACTACAGTATCTTCGCGTCCAACCGAATCTCAACCCACGACAGATCCGCTGGTTGGACTATCTGGAGTCCAACTTCCACTACACGGTCACGTACAAAAAAGGCGCATCCAACATCGCCGACGCATTCACACGCCCCACCACCCAACTCCACGCCATCCTACTCGCCCAAACCAACCCATTGCTAACAGGCCTATTCACCCACGGATACAGTACCGACCCATTTTTGGCGACCGGAAATTCACAGCAGCTAGCAGAAGCTAACGGAGTCTATTACGTAAAGGTAGGCACCAACCACATCTAGGTACCCGCGTACTCAACACTGAGGGAACTGTTACTGCAGGAGGCACACGACGGGATTACCTCGGGACATTTCGGGGTAGAGAAAACGCGACAGCAAATGCAGCGGTATTACTATTGGCCGGAGCTGTTGACCGACGTACAGCACCACGTGGGCTCGTGTCCTACGTGTCAGGTGATGACGAGCTCGCGAAAAAGAAAGGCGAGTCAGTTGCAGCCGATTCCACCGCCTGAGCGCGCCTGGCGGCAGGTTACCATGGATTTCGTCACAGGGTTACCTTCGAAACCTGGGGGTAAAGACGCAGTTATGGTCGTCGTTGACAGGTTGACGAAGATGGCACACTTCGCTGCGTGCAAGAAATCGATCTCAGCCGAAGAAACCGCTCGTCTGTTCATCGCAGCCGTCGTTCGACTGCACGGGATACCAGCCGCAATAATCAGCGACTGCGACACG